ATTATCACCTTCATCATCATTATCGTCATCATCACTACCACCATCCTCATCGTAATCAACATCATTGCTATTATTCCTAGACAGTCAAATCAACCTCACAATGCCTGCCATGGGTCATCAGCTTCATGGTACAGCAGAGACACCATGACCTTGGACTTAGGAACCCTCAAGCTTGTACCGTTGATAAGCTATGCAGCTCAGACAAAGCATTAAACTTCTCCAAGTCTGTCTCCTCATTTGTAAACTGTGCACAGCCTTCAGTGGGGTGTTGGGGATGAGAAGAAGGATATGGATTGTGCCTGGAACAGAGCTAGACATTTAACAATGTGAGCTTCCTTCTCCGGTATCCTGTCCCATGCCCTTGACAGGTGGTTTGATGGTGGTGTATCTCAGGCAAGTACAGAATACCAAACACAGAGTAGCCAGGTTCTAATCACCAGCCTTTGCTCAGAGGCCTGCCACTGGTTTTTCAGCGTTGCCTTGTACAAGACAGATGTTCTGCTGTCATGGCCTTAATTGCTGAGGAGCGTATCTGTCACTGTACACGTGGCAGAGATAGCAGAACTCATCAGCTATTCCAAATGCCCTTGTGCATTCCCCAGTCTCCCTTGTGGTTAGAGTGAGGCCATGTCACAACTAGTGACCAACAGATTGAGCAGAGGGTGGCACTTTCATTTGGAGGGAAAAGAGCAGGGGCCACATGTAGAGATAACAAAACTACAAGCTGGAAGTGACCTAGATCAACAAGTCACTGCAGGGAGATAGGTGTCTCGGCAAGCAGCTAAAACCTAAAGGACTTTTGTGAGTGAAAAATAAAACATGGTTGCATCGAATCACTGATGTTTTGAATTTTGTTACAGCAGTATAACCAAACCTATACTGATTACAGGGATTGGTTTTTACCACCAAGTCCACTTCTTTCCTTATGTCCCTTACTCTGAATGCATGCAGGGCCTGATGGCTATTGTGCATTCCTCAACAGATGGATTGGCTTCTAGGATGGAGGGATCTGGATCTTTGTAGTATAGGGATTTGCCACAATTCTCATGTTTTTTTGTGTAACCTGCGGCTAGTCCTTCACCTCACCATTCAGATGCCTCAGATGGCTGAGAGAAAGGAATAAGGAGAATCCAATGCATCAGGGATCTGATTGGCTCATTCACTCCTACACAGCCCCCTGCACATAAGGGAGTGCCCAGTGAAATTAGTATGTATAGTGCCATGGCATGTACTGGGTTCCCCTGACCACAATCACCCACCTTGATGTTGTATCAGCCCTTTAGTTTTGTCCTGAAAACCACCTAGTGGATGCAAGCCCAGTAGACTGTCCATCAGATGCCCACTCTCCTTTGCCCTGGGGCAAGATCCAAGCTGATCTCAATTCACAATGAACACAGGCCCTTCAGAGAACCAAGAAGGGTCCCTGCTCCCCACAGGCCGAGAACTTCTTGGGTGCTGTCTCTGGTCTGCTTTTCCTACTCTTCTTTGGTCTCTGGGATACTTCTACCCTTCTAATGAAGCCCTCCTACTAATTGGTATGAGTGCCTTTCCAGTCTCAAGTAACACATATTAATGAATCAGATCCAATATGGGCAAAGCCCCTAGTGTGTGCAGGGAGCCTCAGTAGACTCTGTTGCCCTCTTCTAGGTCTGGGATGAATTTTATTTTTGATAATCATAAACTAAATTAAGCAAGTAAACTAAGTCAACATAGTTCAGAAGATAAGGAAAGGTGATTTCTTTTATCCATTCAACAAACATACTGTGAGTGTTAACAATGGGCAAATACCATTGTAGACTCTAAGACAATAAGACAACAAACAAAACAGACCACAATCCCTTTCCTCTGGCAAGTGACATCCTGGTCGGAAGAGACAGACATAAATAACACAAATAAGTCAAAATGCCAAATATTCAGATGCTGAGAAGAGCCTGGGAAAAACACAGCAGGAGAGAAGGGTGGGGGGAGAACCACTGTACTCCTAGGGTTGCAACTTTAAACTTAATGGTCAGGGAAGACCCCCCTGACAAGTGAGCAAATCCTGGATAAGGGTCTTGGGTTCTCTTGTTCCCAAACTCTGTTCTGCAAGCAACTTGGCTTGTAGGACTGATGTGGGAATAGGACCTGACACTTAAGAAGGTCACAATAAACATCACCAGAGAAACACCAGCCAAGGAGGTGCCAAGCAGGTGCCAAATCAGCACTAGAGCAGGTGGGGAGCCTTTAGTCCTGAGCCATCAGCAGGGGGCTGCAGCCTGGGGCTCAGTGAAGCCCCTCCTCTTCTGGGATCTGGAAACTGCTGAAACTTTGGTACCCACCACACACACACACACACACACACACACACACACTGGCCTCCTGCCTGTTCCTGCTGCTCTGGACATTTATCCACTGCTCAGGAAGGATTGGGAGGGAGAGAGGAGAGAAGAAGAGGAAGGAGGGAGAGGGAGGGGGAGGAGAAGAGACACAGGCCACTAAGAAGGGGCAGGAAGAGGCAGCTGGGACTCCAGGGCCTCAGCAGTTGGGACCAGGAACTTCTTACATCTCTAATTCCTCCCTGCTGCCTCATGCTGCCTATTTTGGAGAAATGTTCAAGGGCATGGGTTTGGGACAGAGGTGACCTTGGATTCAATCCTGCCTTTACCATTGCCTGAACTTGTGACCTTGGGCCACCTCACCATTCTCTGAGTCCCAGTGTGATAATATCAGCTTCATAGATTCATGGGATCATGACATGATTCACAGAAAGCACCCGGTCATGTACTGGCCATGTGGTAGATGCCCAGTCAATGGGAGATACTGCTATTCCTTCTCTAGCCCAGTGTGGGAGTCTGGTCTGAGTCTCAGGTCTGGTCCCAGCACTCTGGAGTGGTCTCAGCACCCAAGTAGAGGGGATCCTGTTCACTGCATATTCATCTGGAGCCATAGGAGGAACTCTGATAAGGATCCTTGAGCCAGGGGCACTAAGCCTTGGCTGTACATCAGAACCACCTGGGAAACTAGGAAACAGAGTCATGCCCAGCTATTCCCAGAAAGCCTGATTTAATTAGCTCTGGACTGAGCTGGGCATTGGGAATTCTAAAAGCAAGGCTGAGAATCAGTGCCACAGGCATTGATTTAAATCCCCTACATTCATTCCCAAAGTATGAAATACACCCGGGCACCATGCCCTTAGGCAGCTTCTCAGAGTGTGTGTGTATATATATATATATATGTGTGTGTGTGTGTGTGTGTGTGTGTGTGTGTGTATATATATATATATATATATGTGTGTATATATGTATATATATATATATATGTGTGTGTGTGTGTGTGTGTGTGTGTGTGTGTGTATATATATATATATATATATATATATGTAAAATTTCTAATTTGTTACAACAAGTGTGTTTTGAGTATCTATAGTCCTCTGTATTGGTGAGCTCCACATCCCAGGATTCAGCTGTGTATTGAAAATATTTGAATACAAAAAACAATAAATGCTAGCAGGAATGCAGGGGAAAAGGAACCTTTTACATGTTGCTGGTGAGAATGTAAATGAGTACAGACACTATGGAAATCAGTACAGAGGTTCCTCAAAGTAATTGTAAGTAGAACCATCCTATGACCGAGCTATGCAGTTCCTCAGTATATACCCAAAGGGATTAAAGTCAGCATACTATAGAGATGCCTGCAAGCCCATGTTTATTATGGCACAATTCACAATAGTCAAGATATGAACCAGCCTTGGAATCTATCAGTGGATGAATGAGTAAAGAAAATGTGGTACATATACACAATGACTCCATTAGTCAACCACAGCCAAGGAGAACTGGAGATCACTATGTTAAGTGAAATAAGGCAGACTCAGAAAAACTATAGTGTTCTTTTGTGTGTGGAATCTTGGGGGAGAAAAGATGACATGAAAGTAGAAGGGAGACCATTAGAGAAGAAGAAGGGGAGAGGGGAGAAGGGGGGGATGGACTGAACGAACATGATAAAAGTATGATCTGTACATGTACAAATATGCCATAGTAAAATTCATTATTCTGAATAATTAATATGCACTAATAGAAATAAAATATTTGAGAAAACTGCATCTATGGAAACATGTACAGACTTTTTCTTGTATTTCTAGTTTAACGTTGATATTATACTACAAAATATAATAATCCAGAGATGATTTAAAGTATACAGGAGGACGTGCCTAGGTTATATGCAAATACTATGCCATTTTATATAAGAGACTTGAGCATCCAAGGATTTTGCAATCTGAGGGGGGCCTGAAACCAATGGCCCTTGGATGTCAAGGGTCACCTGTGATATATTCTTGCCCCATTGTCAGACACTGAGCAAAACTGTTCCTGCCCTTGGGGAGCTTGAGGTCTGAGTTGCTATGCAAATATGTCAGAGCCATGGGAATTGGAGAGAGGGAGAAGAAATTCACCCAAATGAAAGTGTAGGTGAGAAAGAAGAGGGTTGCAAGGTCACACCTAAGCCACAACTTGAAGAAGCGACCAGCAATTAGGCTGGGAGAGAAATAGGAGGAAAAAGGGCAGCCCAGGTGCCAACAGCCAGAGCAGATGTATGATGGTGTGAAATACCAAGGGAAGAGGGTGAAGGAGAAGGGAACTTCCTGCAGGCAGGGGACAGAGGGAAGGAGAGGAAGTCGAAGGGTGCTTGCAGCCATGCTAAGATCTGTGACCTTTCTCCCAAGTATGGGCACTGGGGAGCCATGGGAGGCTCTAGGTGAAGGGGCAGCCTTCATCCTATGCATAAGAGTTCAGGGTGTGCCTGCTGGTGGATGCTGGCGCATGAGGTATCTGAAGAAGGAAAAGCCTCTGTTTGGCCATTTTCCCCCAAGCTATTTTATTCCATTCCCTTCCATCATGTAGAAACCAGAAGTTATCTGGAGAACATCACTGCCATAGCAACGGTAGGGGAAACAAACAATGCACACGTTGTATAAAATTGTACATAAAGGCTGTTTGTTTTTCATACCATTATTTTAATAGGTGAGGATGGCAGTGATGGCTGGAGAATAGCAGGCTTGGATGGTACCTGTAAGGCTGCCTGTTCTTGAGATGACTTGAAAGGCTCAGACATTCAGACGTTGGCACTTAGATCATGGCTCCCGCTGGGAGCTCCTGCTGCTTTAGAATGTCACACCGCAGCCATCACCTGTTTGCTCCACAGCTGAATGGCTGTGTGACCCAGTGGCTATGGCTCCAGGCAGAGGTTTAGCAGCCTTGTATCTGGCTCCTTGCCCCTAGTGCTGCCACCCTTGCTGATCCCTGACTATGGGTAAAGCTCATCGCCTGCAGAGCCTCTGCTTTCTCATCTGCAATGTAAAGATTCATTTATGAATCCATTCAAAATGTCACAAGACTTTATTGCAAACCTCCAATGAGCTCTTGCTGCAAAAGGTCCTTGCATTAATGGAGCTCAGAATCTAGAGGGAGTACACAAATAACATACCTATGAACACATAATAAATAAATAAGAGGTTGTTTGAAATAGTTTGCTAAGCTAGGAAAGATCTAAAACATCCCTCTGGAATGTGTCATTCTAGCTGACCACAGAGGGTGGGAAGGGCCGGCTCTTTATGTCTCAGGAAGAAACACCTTCCAGGAAGGACACAGCAAGAGGAAAGGTGCAGGCAGGTCTGCCATGGGAATGTTTGCAGCTGGAGCTTTGTAAAGGGAGGCCCAAGATGAGTTTAAACAGAGAAGAGGGTCCGGATCAGGAGGGTGCTTGCTATAGGCTAGGTTTGGAGTTTTGGGTTATAATAATACTAATGTCCTAGAGTAGTTGTGAAGATTAAATGAAATGTCAAACTGTAAACTCTCAACAGCTGCATGAAAATGTTAACTTTTACTCACACTGGGATGGCTCCAGTAGAGCCCTGTTCTCTTAGGTGTGAAGTGGACACTGTAGCATCATTGCATTTCAGAACTGGTCATTTTTCCCATGAGGGGATTAAATTGACTTTTCAAATGGGTAAATTACATAGCAGAGAGGGCAAGGGACTTATGGAAGTCACACAGGCATTAGTGAGAGACTCTCTGGGACTTCAGACTTCCATCCACTGTCCCTTGGGCTCATGAACTTTGGCCCAAGATGAGATCTCTAAGGGGACCTTTCTTGACTTCTGCTCCTGCAGGTGCCAGGTGGTGCTCCCTTCTTGGGAACAATGTGGATTAAAGAAAAACGATAGACCTCTTGCTCTGTCTTCCAGAGCACAGAGGCTGGCCTTTGGCTGGAAAGCTGGGAGAAAGATCAAGATATTGAGCAGTGAGGACCTTCCCTAGGCTGGCCTTTTCAATATTCCATTCCAGAATGTGTGAGGTTGGAGAGAAAGATAGAAGACTAAAGAAGGTTTCCGGAATTGAATAGAACAGCACTGCCTTGATTAATTCCATGTAAAGTGAGTCACATGAAAAGTGGATTCAACTGGCTATGTACCTGATGGGCTCAGAGTCTTACTCAGTGTGTGTCCTTAGCCCTAGCTGGACCTTCTTCTGTCTCAATGTAGGTAAATACACCTAATAAACCTATAAGAGGAGATCTTGTATAGAAATTCTGCTCTGCTTTTCATTAGACATTGTACAATACCTCATAACAGTAAGATTTATTGAGTACCTAACCTATTATAGTCTGGGCACTCAGCTCAGCACTGAACACGACCCTACCCCAAGAATAACCCTAGGAAGTAGTTACCAGTGTCCCTCACCTTGTGCTGACAGAGCAAATGAAGTTTACAGTGTTCTTTTCCACGAGGGAGCTCTGAGCCAAGTTCAGGCATGTCTGATTCCAGATGAACCTGTGAATTCAAAGGGCACCAGTGTTTACAGGGTCCCCAAACCTATGGACTTAGAATAACCCACATATGTGCACTTGAGCTGATGTAGGCAGTTCTTTATCATGTAAAGGATGTATGTGTCATGCTTTTAATGCCAACAGAGTACATAAATACATACAGTATCTGTGATTGATTTTTCTCACCTTTGAGGTCCAAGCACAAAGGCCTTAGTCAGAACAACTTTCAGCTGGGTTTGCAAGAACTTGGCTGTAGGGCTCAGCCTGATGGGTCATCTTCGTCCCTGTCTTTGAGTCATCTCTACGTTCCTGACAGATCAGTGGTTTTCCTTCCCATCAGCCCAGGCAGGCTTGGCAAATGCAAATCCATCTTGTAGGCTGACTTCGTATTCTGGAAACTTTCCATAGGAAGATAAAGGCATTGTCTCCCAGTAGCATCTCTACCATTTACGGCATTTCTCAAGAGTCAGGGCAGTTGGGACGGACGGATGGAACATTTCCAAGGAAACCAAAGGGACTTAATTGCTCCTCTCCAGGTAATGTGGCTGTGCTGGGTGGAGTGGGCTGCATCGCAGTTGATCGATCACTCCCTTGTTAGCATCTGGCCTGCAATATGAGGGCTGGGACATCCTGCCTGGGGCTGGCAGCACAGACTTACGTGTAAGTAATGAAGACCAGGTGGGACACAGGACACTGGCAAGTCACTGGTTGGAAAATCCACCTTCCCATCAAAGACCTGGGGTGGATTTGTCTCAGAACTATGCTATCGCTGGCACTTTTTGTTTTCATTTTTATTTTCCCTCTCTTCTAAGATGTCTTCTTTTGTATCGCATCTCTTTCTCTAAGACGAAAGATATTTTCTCTACCCTCTACATAGATTAAAGTGATTTAAATCTCCCCAGTAGCCAGGTGTTTCAGAGAGAGCTATGTGATGCTGAGTTGGGGTGGGACAGGGATATGTATAAGAATTGTGCTTCGATGGAAAGAGAAGTCACTGAGTATCAGCTATCTGATGAACTCAAAATTAAACCCCTGACTCACTGTGACCTGTGTAGACAAAGAAATGACATCACAAAGTGTGAGGACCAATGTGGCTACTGTGGTTTGAAGTCTTCTGCTTCAGCCTTAGGGTCTTGCACGTGCTGTTTCTCCACTTAGAACCCACTTTTTTCCCATCTGTACTTAGATGTCTTCTCACAACCCACTTCTCTGTTCAAGTGGCTCCTATTCTAGGAGGTCATCCCCCATCACCCAAAGAGAATTCACCTCCTTTACTCTCAACTCATCCTGTTTTTATCTTTTTCACAGAACTGAGAGCTCTCCAAAATTTTATTTATTAAACATTTTACAGTCTATCTCTCGCCTGTACAAGGTGAGCTCCAAAGAACAGAAATTTTGTCTGTTTTACTCACTGCTGCACTGAGAGTGCCCCCAACACTGCTGGTACATGGATAGGTGCTCACAATACATTTGTTGAAAGGATGGGTGGATGTATAAATGGATGGATGGAAGTTTACTATGTGATATGTGCACTACCCCTAAATAATTTATAATAATTGTAACATTTATTCTTTTTTTCCTTAAATTCTTTTATTGGCACATTTTAGGTACAATGCATTTACATTTATCATTGGGTGCGTGTACCTGTACATGATGTATCTTGGTTCCTATTTTTTCCCCCATTACCTGTGCACCCTTCACCCCCTCCACCCTTCCCTATTTACATAGATTTTGGTTCCATTTTTTTTTCTTTTCTCATAATATTTCCTTTCCCTTCTTTCATTTCCCCTTCCCCTCCCACCACCCCTATACCTTTGGACCTTTTCCTATTTCAAATTATCAATTATTCATTTTAATCATTTTGAGGCCATATTCTTAAGTGAAATAAATAGGACACATGTGTAAATACCAAATGGTTTCTCTAGTGTGAGAAACTGAAAGTGTAAATAAGGTGTAACATTGATTCTTAAATGATGGTCTTTACTGAAAAAGTTTCAAAGAGTTTACACCAGCTGTTCAAGGTTCCATGGCTGTTAATAGGAAAGAAACCATTCAAATTGAGGTCTATTGAGTTACAAAGCCCAGCGTTTAACCACTGTGCTGTACTGCCTTCCCAGGAATAGAGCATTAGTGGTGAGAAAGAGTTGGGCCCTTGTGTTGCTAGACTTTCATGTACGATCACCTCCAGAGAGCAAGAGGCAGGAGCTTGCTGCACTCCCAGAACCTAAGAGCCACTCAATGCATAGGAGATGTGCAAACAAAATTTATAGATAACTGATAGATGCATGAGTGGGTGGATGGGTAGGTGGATGGATGGGTGGATGGATGGATAGGTGCATGAGTGGGTGGGTGGATGGGTGGATGGGTGAGTGGATGGACGAATGGATGGATGGATAGGTGGATAGGTGGATTGGTGGATAGGTGGGTAGATGGATGAGTGGATGGATAGGTGGGTAGATGGATGGGTGGATGGGTTGGTGGATGGATGTGCAGTTGGATGGGTAAGCAAATAGTAAGCAAATAGATGAATGAACATATAGGGAAACAGGGTCCCCGAGAGGCTAGTGACTCATCTAAGATCACACAGAAAGTCAGCAGTGGAGGAACCAGACATCCTATCTCTGCTCACTCCCTTAGGACATCAAACATCTGAGAATGAAATTGGGTGTTTTCCTTACAGTTGAGGGAGGCAGTGAGGATGATGGTGATGATAACTGCTCAAAATGTGGGCCAGATGCTTTAGTTCACCAATTCATGGTGTCTTCTCTATAGCTTTAGGAAACACGTGCTGAGGTATCCCCTCGTGCCACAAGGGTATTATCCACTTGTGTCAGTCGTGCCACATGGTAAGTGTTATTTTTGTCCCTATCCTCAGAAGAGGAAAACAAAGCTCAGAGAGGTTAAGTAACCTGCCCTTGTCTTCCCACAAGGAAGGAGTGAGGACAGGTGCTAACCCTTTGTCTCTGGTGGACAGATTTTAACTGCCTAAGAGCATCATATAAAGTGGGCAGGATTGGGACCACACATCATCTTTTCTGCGGAGAAACTGGGAATCTCTCCCTAGGCAGCAGTGGGTAGCAGGATAGAGTTCTGCTCTATCACCAGAATGTAGGCCAGAGTGCTCTGTGATGATAGAGAGCTCATACCTGGGACAAAGATGGACCAAGTGTTTGAGACTGAGCAAGTCACTTTGCCTCCCTAAACCTCAATTTCCTCATTTATAAAATGTTATCAAAATTGTAACTGGTAAAGATTTTTTAACTGCAAGCTCTTCTGGTCCCTAGAACAATACTATTCGTTTGATGGCATTTCTTCTTGCAAAAGGAAAAGAAAAGAAGAAAAGTCCTGATATTGTTTCTGGGTGATCCCCTTACATTGGGAGTAAGTTCCAGCCCCTGTGTTTAGTGGGGATGGACAGTTTATGGCACCATTTCATCCACATCAGACCCCTTCTAGAGGCCCTGTGCCCTTATGAAAGGAGTGGCTATCATTTAGTCATTGCAAGGAGGAGGTGTTGAAGAGCCAGGCCAGGGCCATCAAATCAAAGTGCAGAGGCAGCCACCAAACTCCTGGGAAGTTGCACATTAGGTGAAAGAATTTCTGGTGCTGGACTTTGACCTGGCCTTGAACCTGCCACATCCTGGCTGAGTGCCCTTGGCTAGTTTGGAACCCTCCCTAGGGGTCAGATACTCATGTCGGATGGTGATTACTGCTCCTCATTGTCAAGATGATCACAAAACTGAAATGCAAAACTGCACAAGGCAGTAGAGCTCCAGGCAAACAGCAGGTGCTTATAAACACTCCTTTGAGCTCACCTACCTCTGTGCCCCTTGCTCCCTGTTCTCCCTCTCCCCTGTCCTTCACCTTCTTTGCTTCTTTGTGGTTTTCATCAACAAGTATTCCTGCATGTCCTCTGCATGCCTCCCACAACTTCCCTCTTTATAAAACCCAATTGGTTTTATTGCCAAGAGTGGAAACTTCCTGCAGCCCAGGCTTGGATTTGATGGGGGTTTCTCTGCTGTCTGAGCCTGATGTGGAGCTGGGCCTACAGTGGCTACTGTGGAAATGGCATTGCACGAATGAGTGAACAGGGAAGTTTGGATGTGCAGGGTCCTAGGGACCACTGGCCCCCTCTTCTGTCCTGTCCTCACCCCCACCCATTCTCTCTAGGAATGCTCAGGTCTCCTACTCTGCCAAAGACATATTCCTCTCATTGCTGCCTGCAACCTTCTCTCCATCTGCTCCCTCTGCCTGCTCAGGATGCAGTGTGTAGACAGTGGAGCAGATGTGTGGGGGGGGGGGCTTCTAGAGCAGGACAAGGCTGAGGAACCCCCTAGCCAGGGTTTTCCCCGGGCTCTGCGTGCAGCACAAGGCAAGAGGTCTCCAGGACTGTGTCCTCTACTGACCTTTGTAGTAGACCCCAAGTAGCTGACCCCAAGTAGCTGCCTGTCTCCCCCATCACCTCTATTTGAGGGGAAAACACAGGTTGCTTGAGAATCAGAAGTGGACGAGGGCGCCGTAGAAGGTGGGCCTGGAACCCAGTTTCCAGGGAGGAAGGGCGGAAGCAAGGGTAAAGGCTGGGCACAGAGGAAGCCCGGCCTGGCTCCTGCCCCAGTGCCCACTTACCACGGAGATGCAAGACCTGGACGGCCCTCAGGACAGAGGAATCCGTTTCCAGGCTGAGGTTGGCCTTGAAAGGCCTGGAGAACCACCTGGTATTCCATGCACAGTTCTGAAGCCCTAGTATTGCTTCAGTGAGAGTCACAGCTCCCCTGGGACCCACTGAGTTGGCGACTTTCTAGGTTATGGGGTTCACTTTGCAAACAAGGGGAAAGAGGGCAAGTGGAGGCCCCCAGGGGCCTGGACGGAACTGGGGCTGGGATCTCTCTAGAAAGCTCTGGGCTGCTCCAAGGCTGGGCCTGGAAGTCTCTAGCTCCTGCCTGGGATCTAGATGGTCAAGGCGCTCTCTGGTTTTGCCTGGCCGCCCGGCAGGGCTGCTTTGAGCAGCAGCGCAGGGAGGGATCGCCCAGCCCACACAGGACGCAGGGGGAATTGGCGTTCAACTTTGCAGGGCCGACGGGCCGGCGGCCAGAGGACAGGCTGGCACCGGGCGCCGCGGGGCCCTCTCCCGCCGCCGCGCCCCCTCCCTGCTCTCGCTCGGCAGCCTCGGCCCCAGCCCCCTCCCTCCCGCTCCTCCGCGCTCCTCCGCTCTCGCCGGCTCCTCCTCACTCGCCCGCCGCCCGCGCCCGGCGCAGTCGGCCACAGC